AGCGGTGCCTACCCTCAACCCTTCCGCTTCCGCTCCCTCCCCTCTCCCCTCCTGAGCTGGGCTCTCTCTCTCTGTCCCTCTCCAGTGGTCTGTGTAGTCTGAGGGCCCTGCTGCGGCTCTGTGTGCAGGTCACGCTCCGGGCCCCGGCAGTCCCTGTGCAGGGGGTGGGGAGCTGGGAGCAGGAAGCACTAATCCGTGCAGACCCCCCTGAGCAGCCACCAGGGCTCAGTGCATCCCCTGCTGCAACGCGGCCACCTCGCAGGGGTCCTCCTCTGTCCTCCCTGCAACGCTGTTCCCCTGACCCCTCCTTTTGCCTCCCCCAAGTCCTCCTGTCTCCCTGCCCCAGAGCCCCGCATCGTTCTGTGCTTCTCCTTTCATTATCCCAACCCCCACTCCATCTCTTTCCCTCCCAGTGTCACCTCTCTGCCCCCTGCTGAAGGGGATGCACGTCCCCAAACCCAGGGACTCTTCAGGGCCTGCCTACCCCTCTCCCGGCCACCCTGGGCTCTTCAGGGTCTGGGCAGCGTCCCACTGGTCTATCCCCTAGCTGCTGGAGAGTACGATGGCGACCCAAGCGCAGGGTTTGCAGGGGACGCGTTTGTCACCGGTGTTTTCCTGCCCTGGAATTCAGACAGATCACTCACCTACGGGCTGTAAAACCAGCAGGAGGAAGAGCAGGGAAGGCCGTCGAGGTCCAAGCATCGTGGCAGTGCAGGACGGGACAGGCTGCTAAGCCAGGAGTAATCGGTCTATAGAGCGGATATCCAGACCAGCTGGGCAAAGAGCTCGGAGTGCTTGGACAGGAGGATCTTGTGAGTCCCCTGCTGAAAGGTCTGTAGATAATCTAGCCCCCAGGTGGTGAGCAAATTCCCCTCGCTCTTTTCTGCAGAAACCCGGCAGCTGAGCGGGCGCAGTCCAGCTCCTAAGAACTCTGCAGAGCAGCTGAGATTCTGCGTGTGTGAGACTGAAACTGAGCAGGGTTCTGGAGAGGGAAGGTTTTGTTGCTCTACAGAGGAAGTGATGTAGCGTCAACAGGATATTCGGAGTTTTGAAAGCTTGTTTTTTAATGTCCTCATAAGTATCAACTTCAAACAACTGTAGCGTGAAGCAACCGCTTCCTATGAACCCTTGCATTTGGCCAACCCCCCAATTTTCTATATTAAAAGAACCCACACCAAACCAGAGCCCATTCCGATGGGAAACATTCAACCAGCTCCAGTTGTAACGGTCAGGGCGTTCGTGACCCAGGAAAGGACCTGTCTAGGCAGCCAGCATCACCGCACTCGTGCAATGGCAGCTTTGCAGAAAGGGGCCCAGTTTGGTGCTGGGGCAAACACGTGTCATGGACTTTACGGGGACAATTCTGACTGAGCGCAGGGGACAGGCCAGGAGTCTCCTAGTGTAGAAGGGAGGCAGCATTGCCTAGTGGTTAGAGCCTTGGGCCAGGAGACTTGGCTTTGATTCCTGGCTTGGCATCTGGGTGATCATGAATAAGTCACATCCCCGTCCGCTGCCTCGGTTTCCACATCTATAAAGAGGGGGAAATGATACTGACCCACTTTGTAAAGCACGTGGAGATCTACTTAGAAGAGCAGGTATTATTGTTCCTGGCAAAAAAAATATTTTTTTTTAGTAGGGGCCAGGAGTGAGTGTTGGGAGTTGCATTCAAGGGACAGCTATAAGAGAACAGAGTAAAGGGAACCTGTTCCCATTTGTGACCCTCGCTCCCCACCCCCATACACACTGGTTGCACCCATCCCTGGGTCAGTGGCTCATTAGCGTCTCTGGGCTCTGGTTTGTACTGGTAGAAATGGCTTTTCTAAATGGCCGTTCACAGCCCGTCCCTGCTCCATGAGGCGGGCTGGCTAGTATCACCCCAGCTGGGTGTGACCGCCTGGCTTAGGGGTACAACACTGCCACGCGGTGCTGGAGGGTCCGATTTCCCAGCCAGCCGCCGGTAGCATTTTCATTTGTGGCCTGATCTCCTCTCTCAAGACTGGGGTACGAAGGGGCCACTGCAGGCATTCTGAAAAGCCGTACAATCCCAATGTGCTTTTCTAAGTTTGGGGAGTGAAATGCCAACATGGAAATGCAGCCTCCTCTGGGGTGGAATGGGCCAGCTGTTTAGCGGCTACTCTGCCCCAGTAAACAGTGGTTAGGGGCGAGGAAGCCTCCACTGCATCTAATTAAACTGAAGGGGAATGCAGGGCACCAATGTAATTCCCCAACACTTGGATTTAGCCCCAGGCCGAACACCTCGACTGTAGCAAAGTGCCCTGGGATCCTTAGACAGGACCAACAGCACTAAATAGCAGAACCTCGCCCTCTGCCCACTGTGACGTGCTCCGGGGTGTAATCCGGACTGTGGAACCCCTGTGCCCCCTTTAACTCTCCTGCCCAATCTGTCTCTTACGCTGCTCTGCCAGTGAGCAGCGAACCCCTCCAGGCTCTGGTCACTCAGCCATCAGCGTGCAGAGGTGCACCCAGCAAAGTTACCTGGAGGCTCCCCCAAGCCACCCCTGAACTGCATACAGGGAGACCCCAGCAAATTCCCCCAGCCTTGCCCCCCAGAAATGTGCATCTTACACTGCGCGAGGCCTTCTTGATCAATACAAGCGCATTAATAAGTTCGCCACTCCGTCAAAGGGTAATGGACACGCCCCAGCCTCTGTCATCTGAGCAGATCCCCCAAACACTTTAGACAAACTCACTGGTTTAGATTAAACATCGAAATAAGTTTATTAACTAAAGAGAGAGATTTGAAGTGATTATACGTGGTCGGCGTAAAGGTCAGAATTGGTTACATAAGAAATACAAAGTAAACAGGCATCCTAAATCCTGAACTTCATCAGGCTAAGCAAGATTGGAATCAAACACTTTTTCTCATCCTACAGGACGTTTGGTCCCTCCCTCCCCCAGTTCAAGGAGATTTCTCGTTGTCTTCCCAATGATCTTTCTGCCAGATGTCGAGATGGGGGAGGAGAGAGAGAACCCACACAGGATGATGTAATTGCCCGTCATTTATAGGGTTCTCCGGGTATTGGAAAAGTCCATGCTGTGTCAGGGGGTTAGGCCGCCCCATAATGTAGGTGCCCGAGTGACTGTCTTTGTTTACAACTCCCTGCTGTAGAATACCTGGGGACGGCTGCTTAACGCCTGGCTGGGTGTCCGTCACTCTTTTGATATCTCTGAGGAGCTGCTCTGTGGGGGTTTCCCAGACTCACAACATATTTCAGTCTCCAACCTATAGCAAAATCTCATAACTTCATACACAGTGAGACTTGCATTGCAACAGGACAGTAATGCTCAACAGATTGTAACTTCCCAAATAATACCTCCCGAGGCAGACTTTGTACAAATCTGTCATAATCCTATAACCGTGGTGACTATGTGGGTACAGGGGGAAACGTGGGGTATATCACACCCACGAAACAGAAATCCTCGGTGAGAACACGACAGATTTACCAATGGCTAAAAATGCAGCAGTGAAACCCACGGAGCTGGGCCAGCGTCAGTGTAAACCCCCGAGCCCAGTGACAGCTGCTGACGCAGACCTTTCTTCTCCCTTTTCATCCGGCCCCTGCCCGTCTCTGGTTAGGACGTGAGTCGCTGCCGTCATGGCGACCATGGCCCCCAAGGCCAGGAGCAGCAGAATCCCCTTCCCGGCGCAGTAGGACAGCGAGGGGCCTGGAAATGAACAGACGCGATGGCAGGGGGTGGAGGAGGAGGCTCGGGGGCAGACCAGCTCCGTCCATTGGAACTGGGGCTGCGGGTTTGTCACAGGGGCAAACGTGTGGCGCGGCCCGGTAAGGAGGAGAAGCGCGGTGGGGCGGGTGGGGTGTTGGAGCCCTGAACTCACCCTGCAGTGGGGGCTCCTGTCAGGTGGGGCTGGGCTCAAGTCCTGGGCATGGTGACCTGGTGCCCGGGCTCACAGCACAGCTCAGGTTTGGCACAGTCATGACAGGGGGCGGCCAGACCCAATCTGAGCCAGTGGTGTCGCCGCCCAGAACAGGAAGCTGGGCCCAGCCCCGCAGGACAGAAGCTGCCTCTGTGGGGTGCGTGTGGGGCAGGCTCACTCTCCCATCCCCCCCGGCCAGAGGGTGCTGCTGCGGGGGGGCACTGGGCCCCTCGGTGGGGTGAGCATGACGTAGCTGCGAAGGAGGAAGGGAAAGACAAAGACGCTGGGTCTCTGATTTTGGGGGACCCCCTCTGAATTTGGGGTGGGATGGGGAGACTTTACTCACCATTTCCTCCAAACCCGTGATTTGTACTAAACTGACCCTGACTGCGTGGTGATGTGTCGATACCCTGCCGCGAGAAAACTGCAGCCCTAGCCAGAGTTCTCTGGCCCCATCTCTGTGGTATCCGCACCTCACTGTCTTCAATGTCTCCATCCTCCCAGCACCCCCGGGACGGTGTCACTTGTCCTGGGTCTGTACAGCGCCTAGCACCGGGGGCTCTTGATCCAGAATGGGGCTCCCAGGCCCTATGGCCATGCAAAAATACCCCCCCCCTCCATTTTACAGCTAGGGCACTGAGGCACTGAGAGATTAAGGCCCAGACCCGCAAAGGTATTTAGATTCCCCATAGCCAGTGGGAGTTAGCAGCCTAAATAGCTTTGAGGATCTGGGCCCAAGGGACTTGCCCAGGAGAACATAGCGAGTAAGAGCAGGGAAGCCAACGCAGGTCTCCTAAAGCCCAGTACGCTAACCACTGAACCAGCCTTCCTCTGAGCCTGAGCTGGGAGCTGAGAAGGAATCGTAAGTTTCCTCAGTTGAAACAGGATCTCACTGGAAGCAGGAGACCCCATCAGGGGCTGTGTCAGACCCTGGGGTAAATTCTAGCTCTGACGAATGCAGAAATCTACAGGCTGAATCCAGAGCCTCTTCCTCCTACTTCTACTCAGGCAAAAATATGACTGACAAATATATTAACAAATACATAACAAGTGGGCACAGAACGGACTGCCACTGTAACGCCCTCTTATGCTGCTAGAGGAGAACAAAGTGGTTCCAGTGTTAATGACAATCAGGCTCCCATCTTGCTTATACTGAGGACTATTTACCTGTGGCTGGGAAGTCACACAATGATTTGACATCTACAGTGTCTGCATCCCAGCTGGCTCGGTTACTGGCGTTACATCGGTAGAAGACGTCACTGCTGTCTGCATTAATCACTACGTGCAGCAGGGATTGGTGCCCAGGGAGCTGATGGTCCCGGTCAGACGGTATCCGGGACGTGCCTTGGTACCAGTCGTAGGTGGCTCTGTCAGCGCCGGGCACCGAGCAGGACAGGGTAACGTTGCACTGGCCGAGCTCCGCGTGGGCAGAGAGCACTGTGAGGTTTGGGTGCCGGACTCGGTCTGAAAGGAGAGACTCTGGTGAGAGATGCTGAGGAAAGCGGCTGCCGTCAGTGACACACACTAGGGAAAAACGTGATCTTTGCTACTCACCAAACACAGACACACGGAACTTTGTGCGGTTTTCACGGCCTCCTCCAGTGTCAATTATCAAGGTATAGAGGCCACTGTCTGACTTCTTTACTGGATCAATCTGCAGTGAGAGATTCTCAGGGTGGAAAGTGACTCTGTTGATAAAATATGGGGATGGCCCAAAGTCAGGGGGTTCCCCTTTATTAAATGTTACAATCCGATACGTCAGTGCTGAGTCTAGTGTCACCTCCCAGGTGATTTCTGTCCAAGGCTCCGGCAATTTCACTGGCAGTAACTGGACGGATTCCCCTGCAATTGCAGCCACTTCCATTTCTTTACAACCTGGGGGTTCAAAAATACGAAATACAAAAAGCAGGGGAGTGAAGGGTTAACTGAGCTCATCAGTGAAACATGGGCTAAAACAAGACCATTCTTAGCCTGGTTTCAGGTGAATTTGAAGCTGCTCAGAGGCGCTGGGTAGACAGCCCTGGAGAAGGAGGGCTCTGTTTACCCACAGAACTGGTATGGCACAGGCGCTATGAGCCTCCCACAAACCTGAAGCAGCGCTCTGTAAGGGTGAGCAGGGACAGCCGTATTTAAATAGCATGTCGGTCTCTTGGAACGGTAACAGTTTGTGTTCAAATAATAATCCCTAGTTTTTATACAGGACTTTTCACCAGTAGCTCTCAAAACTATTCACACAGGAGGTAAAACAGCCTTATTGCTATCTTGCCGATGGGGAAACTGAGGCACAGAGCAGTGTAATGACCTGCCCGCGGTCACCCAGAAATCCAGTGGAGCAGCCAAGAAGAGAACCCCGTCTCCTGGGTGCCAGCCCAGTGCTCCCCACAGGTACTCGCTAGGCCAGCTGCAGCTGTGCAGTTAAACTTCGAAATAATGGCCCTTAATTCTAATCTGTGCTGGGTGTGACTGTAATTTACAGCCACTCTGAGGTCCTTTCACAGGGTGGGGCCTTAGCGTAACTGAGAATCAGGTGCAGAAAATTCCTGGTTAGGATTCCCAGAGGAAACATAATTTTCATCCAACCGAAAGTGGTTTTACTTAGGGCTGTCGATTAGTTGCAGTTAACTCACGCAATTAACTCAAAATTAATTGTGATTAAAACAATTAATAGCGATGAATCGCACTGTTAAACAGTAGAATACCAATTGTAATGTATTAAATATTTTTGGATGTTTTTCTACATTTTCAAATATATTGATTTCTATTACTACACAGAATACAAAGTGTACAGTGCTCACTTTATATTATTATTTTTGATTACAAATATTTGCGCTGTAAAAATGATAAACAAAAGAAATAGTATTTTTCAGTTCACCTCATACAGGTACTGTAGTGCAATCTACTGTGAAAGTGTAACTTACAAATGTAGATTTTTTTTGTTACATAACAGCACTCAAAAACAAAACAATGTCAAACTTTAGAGCCTACAAATCCACTCAGTCCTACTTCTTCTTCAGCCAATTGCTAAGACAAACAAGTTTGTTTACATTTAAGGGAGATATTGGTGACTACTTCTCATTTACAATGTCACCTGAAGGTGAGAACAGGTGTTTGCATGGGACTTTTGTAGCCGGCGTTGCAAGGTATTTAGATGCCAGATGTGCTAAACATCAGCATGCCCCTTCATGCTTCGGCCACTCCAGCTCTAATTTACTCTTGGCTGATCTGAAATTATTCTTATCAATATTCAGTTTCTGATTATTTTCTTTCAATTTTCTTTTTAATTAGGAGAATATTTATTCAATGGGGACTAGAAATGTAATTATTTTAGATATTTTTCCACAATGACAAACCATTTCTAGCACAAACCATGGCCTTTTTTTAAAGAAAAAAATTGAACATTTTACAAAACAGAATATTTTGAAAATATTAAAATTGGTAGAAATTTGTATATGGAAAATACTAAGCAAAACGATTGCGCGCATTGCTACTTCTGTGAACTATTTTTTTCATTTTCATTCTTTTCTTTCCTTATTGAAAATATGACTTTGAAGGAGATCCATCACCAGTACTGTATACGAATTAACAGAAGGCCATTTGCTTGTTCCTCCACCATTCACAGTACATTCCAAAGAGCGATGAATACTGAGATATCCCATGTTTACAGTTCATTTACATGATAGGATCTTCTTTGACCTCTGAATTATCAGAAT